ATTTCTTCAAACAAAAACCAAAGTTTCAAAAACAGAAAAGTATTAAAACATAATAATGGCAATAAAGAGGTCGTCTCAAGCAGGATCTATCAAACAAATCTTAAAGAGATGCTCGAGTCTAGGGAAGAAGAAGAACGTGAATGGTTGCTACTATAACCAAGAAGATGATAGTCTTCCTCAAGACGTACCAAAAGGTCATTTTCCGGTTTACGTTGGACCGAACCGAAGTCGGTACATCGTTCCTATCTCGTGGCTAGAACACTCCGAGTTTCAAACGTTGCTTCGACTAGCCGAGGAAGAGTTTGGTTTTGATCATGATATGGGTCTAACCTTACCTTGTGATGAAGTCTTCTTCAGATCTCTCATCTCCATGTTCAGATAAAACTCGATCATTATTCATTGAGTTGGCCTAGAAGAAGGAATCTCTTTACTAGAAAGAAATTAAATTTTTATAAGTGGAGAGTAAATCCAAAAACAAGAAACAAAGAAGTTATAAGATTTTCTGATAAGACAAAGGGAAATGGCTAATTAGTTTTATGTTAGGCATCAACCCCATTGGGTTTTTATTTCTTTCTTTTGTTTTTCTCTAAAATTAATATTTTGTAATAGTTTGGGTTGGGGTGGGAGACTTTTTCCCTCAAGTCAACGTGGCTGATTTTGAGAGGAATAGTTGGTTAACTTCTGCAACTTAGTTATGATCAATCAAGAAATGATGTTCTTTAATCCATAATATATAAACACTCCAAAAAATCATAATTCAAGTTAATTCGAACCATTGTTACTAATTAATTTTTGTATAAATAGCTTGATAGTGTAAAGAAATACGCAATACACTCAACTCAATTTCTCCGAGGTTTGGCAACGTACTAATCTTCAGAAACATACCACTTAAGCAGTTCTATTAAAATTATTGTCTAATTGGATTAACGCGACACTAAAACATATTTAATAGGTCACCGACTAATTTCTAGCAAATATATTAACTTTACATCAGCATCATGATCATACAACAAAAAATCTGCGGAAAACATTCACATTTCTCTCCCAGTCTCTTTGAATCTTTAAGATTATATGCTCTCTAAAACGGCTAATAAAGCGCTAAGGAACATGATTTTGTTTTTACATACATGCATCTTGACCAATTTGCATATAATTGTAACAAAAAGAAAAGTCTCGACAAATATGATGGTACGTGTTTCTTCTCTCAATCCATATACTCTTCATACGTATCACTCTATTTTTTTACTGATCGTTTTACACCTTAAACTCACCTATCAATCTTCGAAAAAATCATAATGATGATCATGTCCTTAAATTCATGCATTAATCTTTTTTTTTGGATAAAATGTAAAATATTATTCAAAAAGATCGGTTTTGATCATACAACATGACCTTATAACTTGGTCCCATGTAAATAAAAATTAAAAACATGGAAGCAACCGGAATCGGTGTTACATCTACCGTGATCTCATGGTCACGGGGTGAAGTTACAGCGATAAAATTAACAAAGATCTTAGGTGGAGAAGAACTCAAGAGCACACAAACTGAGAATGGATTGCAGATCTTCAACACTCATGCATTAATCTTGAAGTCTTTTAAGTCACACATTTGAATATCTTCAAATTTCCATTGACCATATATCACCAACCACCTCTCATAACTCCCTTCTGAATTTCCATTAAACTCTGAAAGCCCTTTCAATTTGTTCATTTATACTCTAATTTCCATTAAGTGTTGTGAACAACTTGAATATTGGAATACGAGGCGTATGGGTATGGGTATGTGGTATCATATCATTACAGA